ATTTAAATAAAAAATGAAAGCTTCCATTTTACAATTGCACCATCTCAAGTGCCAGAAAACCATAAGAATATAATCAAACGGCTTTTAACTTGTCCCTGTACAAGTACTTGGCTATTTGTACCGATGCCTTCTTACTTTTTCTTTATTTATTTATTGTTTAATTCAATACGCTCTCTCTGTCTTATAATGATAATAATTACTTTTTTAAAACTATAAAAGTACGTGATTTTTCTTTAAAAAATTAAGGTAAAATTACTTTTACGAATCATTTTAGGACCAAACACATAAATTATCGTCATGTACTTGTATACCGATATATAAAAAATAAAAAAATAAAATTTTTTTTAAAAAAAAAGAGCAGGATATATTCATGGGCAATGCAAGTGGAAAAATTTTGAGAATCCAAAGGAAGGTAAAGTATTTATCTAATTAGCTTCAGTTCATATATCACGTGGAATATATGAATCTACTAATATATTAATTACTTCCTTCGTTCCATAATTATTGTCCAGTTTAAATATTTATTTTTAGTTCAAATTATACTAAAAGTAAAATCTCAAACTGAACAATAATTTTGGGACAGGAGGAATATCAGTTTTGGTTTCTTATATTGTCTTCTTCTCTTTTGCCCTCAGATAAGTTTATTCGAATCTTCTATTTTGTGCTAGATCGAACATTCAACATTCCAAACAAAAAACTTTCATATGGTACGAAAATATTGTACCAATGAAGGCGTGTTGAAAATCATGATGACCAGCCGTGAAAACATCGATCAACAAACTTTTTAAATTAGGATATTAGTATTTCACCTCCCGGATCAGGAATCAAAGATTATAAATTAATGTTGACTGAAATAATAATAAGGACCAGTTTGATATAACAAAATCATGAGATGATATTAAACGGACGGTACGTGTATGGATCATCACTACGCTCTCTCTGCGCTCTTTCAATGTCCTCAACCAATACGTAGATCCCAAAAAAAATTAATAATAAAAATGTTAAGAATTCAACGGAAATTTTTTTTTTTTTTTGGACAGAAGGAATAGTATTCCATTTATCTTAAAATAATTGTTCAATTTGAATTATCACTTTTTGTATAACTTGAACAAAAAATGGAAATTTATACTGAACGATAATTTCGAGACAGATGGAATTTTTTTAATTTTTCCTCCCATGAACAACAAGTTTAGGAAATGTCACGTTCGGAACTCTAACTTAAAATTATTCCTCAGACGGCAACGAAACATCAAAACCTCAAATTTTCCAGTATGTATGCATGAGAACAAATAGTAAGAATAATTAGGCACACGGGGGAGGGTGAATTATGCCACAACTCGAGACAAAAATTTTTGGTTTTTTTCAAGTGAGATAAGGCATCAAATTTCTTCTTTGACTGTGACCTTTATTTACTCCCCTTCATGTCGCGGGTCGTTCGGCCAAAAAAATTTAAAAGAATTGATGTTGATAAAGAAAAAAAAATTTACTTTAATTTTGGTGGATATAAGCAGTTCTTTCGGATTTATCAAATCCGAGAGTCTAATTAATCGGACTTTCGGATATGGCAAATCTGAAATAATAAAAAATAATAAAATATTAATTTCTTGGTTATTTTGAAAAAAAAAAGGAACCGAGGTCAAAATGTGTACAGTAAACTCGAATTTCCGATATCTGAGAGCTTCCCCAACATAATTTTTTTAAAAAAAAAAAACTGAAGGGCGGGAAAATTTAAAATTTTATTTATGGTGGGAAAGTTTGAAAATTTAATAAGTTAACAGTGAAATCGGATTTCGGAAATCTGAAATACCTTTTTTTAAAAAAAAAATCTTTTAGTGCAAAAAACTTTGAAAATTTGAATTTTGATAGGAATTCGCATTAAATTGACATATTCACTTTTAAAAAATAAACAATAAAAAATATTGTATTAGATATGATATTAATAAAAATCTTTAATTACTAATAATTACTAGGAATTTACATTAATTTGATGAAAAATATATATTACTAATGTTACATAGTATTATTAAATCCGGTAGAAATTTGAATTAAATTAATTCAGTATAATTGATGAAAAATATATATTACTACTGCTACGTAGTGTTATGTACTATCTGTACGTACGAGTATTATGTAGTACATTAATACTATTACTCACTATACATCACTGATACTAGTGTTACTTATTACTGTTAAATCTATTAGCCATTAGATATTATCACTAATTCAGTATAATTAATATGTACTAGTATTATGTACTTTTTATATGTACTAGTATTATGTAGTACATTAATATTATTACCCACTATACATCACTGGTACTAGTGTTACTTATTACTGTTAAATATCTATTAGTCATTAGATATTATTATTAATTCAATATAATTCATCTATACTAGTATTATGTACTATTTATATGTACTTGTATTATGTAATACAGTAATACTATTACCAACTATACATCACCGGCACTAGTGTTACTTATTACTGTTAAATCTGTTAATCATTAGATATTATTATTAATTCAGTATAATTCATCTGTACTAGTGTTATATACTTTTTAAGTAAATAATCGAATTTCCAGAATTAGAGTTAAGCAAAAAATTAGATTTCCAAAATCAGGCCATTGGATTTAGGGTTTAGGGTTTAGGGTTTAGGATTTAGTTTCGGATTTCCCAAATTCGAGTTTATCTCAAACTCGGATTACGAGAATCTGAGATTAGCTTAAACTCGAATTTCTAAAATCTGACTTTTAGGGTTTAGGGTTTAGTTACTGATTTTTCAAATCCGATTTTAGTTTAAATTCGGATTTTTGAAATCCGAGTTTAACTAAAAGTTGGGTTTTCAATATCCGATTTAGTTCAAAACGTAAGATTTTAGGGTTTAGGGTTTAGTTCAATGTGCCTTGTGTGAGTATGGGCACTACCCGGGAAAACGCAAATCCGAAATTTATCATTTTCTAAACAACACAGATTTCTCAAATCCGAGAATAAGTACAGAGGACTCAGATTACCGAAATCCGAGTCTCTTCCTTTTTATTTTTAACACTTAGATTTTTTTTCCAAAACTTCAAATATTTTTTTATTATAAACTTTCAGATTTCCGAAATCCAAATTTCTATGTTTCGGATTAGGCTAATCTGTTTCTAGTCAATTTTTATTTTCGAACACTTAGATTATTTTTTCAAAAAAATAAATATTTTTTTATTACCGACTTTCGAATTTGTCAAATCCGACTCTTGATTAGTTTCAATTAATTCTTTGATTTAATTTAAGTAATTTTAGGTTACTAAAGTCTCGGATTACACTAATCCGAGTTTCGGTGGTCTCGGATTTGCGAAATCCGACTGTATGGTATTCTCGGATTTGATAAATTCGAGAGAACTAGTATTGTCCACCTAATTCAGATCCATATTATTTTTGTCTAGGGTCTTTTTAAATAATTTTTTGAGTAAAAAACTCTTCATTTCACTTGGAATCTAAGAAAGGAAAAACAAAATTAGTTCCCTTATTACCAAAGCCAGGAGGACTCCCTTTTTCTTTTCGTTACCTTTTTTTTTTTTTTTTTGGAAGATTATAGATTATTGAGATTATGATCTACTTTGTTGTGTATTTATTTTTATTTTTTTTTTACAATAAGAGAGACTACACGCCTAAAATCATACTAATACATAGTATGTTACCCCAAATTAAATTATAATACAATCATGGCTTGGTTCCCGTTGGTGAAACATCTAATCATTGCAACTCTACTGGGTCTTATGATGTCAATATTGTCAAATAATCTGTTGTAAAATTCGCCTCTCAAACACATGTTTTACCTCTACAGTCTAATTGCCTCCAACAGATCTCATATCCCACATACAATTCCGGCATTCATTCCGATAATATCCTTTCTGCCTATAACCACAAAAATAATGCTCATGTTATCTAATTAATAAATCAATCACTTTCCGACCACAGTTTCCCAAGCCAATATTAATGTTTGTAAAAGATTCTATAATTCTGCTCTCTTAATAGTACGAAAACTAATATTCATTGTAAATCCGGCCAATCATCTCCCGTAACAATCTCTTGTAACTCCTCCGACAGTTACCATAAATTGACTTTCATCCGTTCTGATGGTGTAGGAAGCCACTGGATGAATCTCGTTTCCCATCCCAAACTAGCTATTTATCAAATTAGCGTCAAGATTCATATATCACGTAACATTCATGATGCATGAGACTCAATTTTCATGTCATTCAGTACAATTAAGTTTGTTCACATGAACTACTGATTGCTAATCTGTTATCATATTGGATGGACAGTGAAAGATATATTGTCTAATCATAATTCTCAATTAATTGAAAGAAACAAGCCATTTGACTGTGGTGTTAGATATAGTTAAATACATAGGAGAGAGATGGAGACAAGAACAACAGCGACATCAGGACAAATGCGGATAACCTCGTAAAATCAGGGTATCTTTAGCAGTTTTTGGTGCGGATTTCCCAGTTGTTGAATTGAATATACTAGTTTGTTACCCAAAAACAAAAATGACGTTTTTCTTTTGTCCCGGAAAAGCCATTTGTTGTCTTTCCTGATCATTTGCCTGCTAATTAAACTCTAGTTTATGAGCTTCTAGATGAGGAATCTTTTATTTTAAAAATTAAAAAAAAAACACACACACACACACACATTATTTCCTTTGTTCCGCCGGCAAGCGCATTTGAGTTTTTCTTTTTTTTTTTCTTTGGGTAACATTTAATACCAAGTTTTCCCTTCCCAACTCCTAGGAGCACCTTTATTAATCACTCAGTTATCAGTAGGTTTTTCACAATTAGCAGACTTTTTAATTAAGGTATTTTGATTTTATCCTAAATTTCACCTGGGATGTATTTTTAGTTAAAAAAAAATTCTTAAAAATATATTTCTACATTCGTTGTATTCTCCTAATTGTTAAGAAATTTTTTTAAGATTTTTTTCTCAATTAAATCAAAATGACTTATAATAAGGACCGGAGGAGATATCTCACTTTGGGAGACTCAATTTAATCTCACGAGTTGAAAAAGTGAAAAGTGCGATAGGGTTATTCCTAATATATACATAGAAAATGATACAGTATGTTCATTTATTAATAATATTACAAGTTACACTTTTACATTTCAATTGAACAAACATTACTTGAAGTAGGAAGGACAACATCACGCATCATGCCATCATCTATTAACATTTGAAGGTACGCCTCTCTTGAACTTCTTCCTAAACAAAAATTTAAGGGCGGTGCCCAACAGAGGCCACGACGAAAGGATGGCAACGTATGCAAGTAGCCACATCGAATTTTTGTTGTGACGAGAAAGCTGACTCAAGTATTTAGTAATACCTTCTGGAGATGTAGATTTGACATCCTCGGAGTTGGCATGTCGGCTGGAACTGTCACCAGAGTTTGCTTCCGGAGTGGATTGGCGTTGCTCCCTTTCTGATGTGGATTCTGGATTTTCATGAACTCTGTGCTCTTCAGCTGACGTAAACAAAGTAGCATTGTTCGATGAATGCTCGGTGCCCATAGCCGCAACCATCCCATCCGCTGCACTTAGGTATGGACCTTGATCAATGGAAGAGTCCACCAACGCAGAATGAGATGTACTTTGTATCTGCAAATGCAGCCAATAACATTTTCAACTTGAGCGCGGAAATAGCAAAATACTGTATCAATGTAGAGGTTACGAGGATTCAGAAGGAGATGCAAAGGCTGTTATTTATATTCTGGATGGATAAGATACATGGATTCAAACACAATAAAAGACCAACGCGATCCATCCATCAAACAGTTAAATAGCCATGGACTACTACTACTAAGGTATCATATACCTTCCTTGTATGCATCAATGGACTAGAATGCAAAACACCAAGGAATTCGTTAGCTGCTCTCACCCACCTGAAAGGAAAAGTGAAAAAAGATGCAAATAGTTTAAAACTTGGACTATCAATAAAATCTGGGAGACTGGGTATATCAAAAGCATTCACCAAAAAATCTCACAAGCATCATTATCCATTGGAACTAGCTTGATGAAGATTATTCACACGTATTGACGATACCAACAACCCTAACAGTGAATTTACACGAGTAAAGAGGTTCATCGAGAAATTCAGATGCCAATTATCTCCACTGCATATTTCCCACATTTTCCATACATTTTACTTGTGCTTTCATAGCACGTGGGTGCTAAGAACTATGAAGGTTTAATGAAGGCACACTAATTTTCACAAAGGAAAAGGAAGAGAGTATCAACTGAGGTTAGTATAACGCAAAGAGGAGAAGTTCGGAAAATTAAACACTTCATACCAAAGGTGAGAACCAGTTATTCCTTCAAAGAATGCCAGATGTCCTCCATGCTTTGTCATGGCAAGCACAACATTTTTATTGTTCCTATGAAAAGCATATCAAATCTGCCTTCAGAAATAGACTCTAAAACTGAAGAACAAATGAAAACAACCGGAACAAATTAAATTTACAGTTCAATTAGAAACGTTTTCTACCTGATTTCATCCCAGGGTACAGCTTCAGTAGTGCAAAGAGGGTCATCCAAAGAACCAACGCAGAGTAATGGTACTGAAACCCGCCCAACAAAAGTGGAACAACTACAATGCCTGTAATATGTATCTACAGTCTAGAGCCAACAACAGAAAGCAATTAAAAACTATTTATTGAAAGAGAGAGAATATAGTACTTTAGTTTAGAGGATGTTTGAAAGACTTGCAGAAGTGTCGATTCAGAGGATAGGACTAGGACAGATTGATCAATTTTTTAATAAGAGACCAAACGGCTGGCAATCATGGGGCAAAATCTTATAAATGTAGGAACTTAAATTGCAAAAGCCACCTTAGATGAACATAGATTTGTTCCAGCATTGTAGAACTACCGTAGAGTCCTTTGGAGCATAACTTTAAACTGCTATTGCATTAAAACCCAAAATGCAGCAAACTAACGCATTCAAATAGCTGAAGAAATGCAAACCTCTACCAGTTAATTTGAGTTGGTTTCATAAAACTAAATTTTCTATTCCTGTCAATTATGAAAAGAGAAATAGAGTATGAGAGGTTACCTCATAATTCCCAACAAGGCAAGTAGCATGGGCGTCAAAGTCCCGGATAGAACGTGACTATAAAAACAACCAAAAACAGGAAAAAAGGAAAGGAAGAAAAAGATAAGTAGAAGAATGGGATATAGGTTTTGCAACATTTATCTAGATTGCCAATTTCACACCATAATCACAAGTTTGACTGAATTAACATCAAACCCAATCAAATTTATGCGAAAATGTCTGTGAACATGAATAATTTACCAGAGCAGAGCATAATCAGATGACTTGGTTGGAAAACTAATGCAAATTTAGAAGCCTCAAATGGCATGTACATGCAGTCTTGATGGAACTATTATGTTCTGATGAAATGGCATCTCTGATCTCTGGTTTGGGTCTTGCAATTCCCCAAAGTTTAATTATAGCTACTTCCAAGGATCTAAATTACTGTTAACCCAACCACTAATGCTCACTCATGGATTTAATGAGCTCAGTGAATGGAGGTTACGTTGGGCAGCACAGCACTCATACTTGCCTATGGACTTCAAAAGCTTTTTTTAGAAGTTTCTGTTAACGACTTCAAAACATTTTTAAATCTAGAAATATGATGGAAAATATAATTGCATCTCAAGAGGTTGCCTATTATAAAATAACCCTCAGTAAAATCTGACCATGAATAAAATAGCCAGGTAAGGAAAACCAGATGGTGAACACAGTTTCAGGCCGAGAAAACCAAAAAGAAACTGCATATAATGAAAAATTGCCACCATCCAATAAATTCAAACATTTGTCCAGAAATGGTATATTGTTTATTAAATTTCCAAGTCGCTGTGGTATCAAAAGCAATGGAAAAAAATAAATAACAAAAAATCAGATGGCATTTCCCATACAAATGAACAAACAGAATATCAAAATAAATGAAAAAACCTATGTCATCCTATGTCATACAAACAAGTGGAGATAGGTTGCCAACCTTTGTTATCCCTTCCCAATTAGCTAGGCGAGTATACCGAGGTTCATGTCTGAAATTAACATAAGAAAAAGTTCAGTCTGCTGGATTTTGAGACTTAAATGGGTGAAATTCATAGTTTTTCCAATATATTCAGGGCCTAACATAAAAATCATACACGAGCCCTCATAGTCTGCACAAAATTATCATTTACAAACTTTTCAAATGGCGACAAAAACACTTCATGACTGCAAAACATTCACAAGCAGTAAGCTTGCATGGTGAAGTTTTCACTTAAAGCAGAAAGATAGGAGAAAACCTACAATTGTGCATAACCTTGTAGACCAATGGTCAGAGCTCTGTCATACAACTTCTGTATAAGACGACGACCAATGAATCTGGAGCCAATCTGTAAAGATCCAAGATAAACGAAAATGAATGGATAGAGATATGGCAAATATTCAATAATGGAAAGCACTCATATAATCTCTAAAATGAAACGATGCACAACTAGATGCATATATTGTCAATATAATTAATCTTCAACATTGTTAGCAAACACCCCCCCCCCTCTCCTTTGTTTGTCTTCATGAAGCTAACGACTTACAAAGCCAGACACATGCAGGCTACACCTTTAAGAATGCAGTAAATGAGTTTGAGAACCCCAAATTCTAAGAAAATCGAAGGATCATAAAAGATTCTCTAGCAAGTACTAATAGTACCCCTTACACATCACGTTTAGAGAGATTATAGCACCCAAGAACATGATACAAAACCCTGAATCAGACAAAAAAATTTCTACAAATTTTCATTGAACATTCCGAAATCTACTCTTAGAGATGTACATTGTTTATCAAGTATGAAACTGAAACTAAGTGAAACTAAGATTTACAGTTTTGTTCCCAAAAGAATAAATTCCTAGCAAGACTCAAATTCAAAGGGGTAAACCTTCGCATAAACTTTTGAAACAACATCCAAAAACCAATCCTTCAGAAATTCCTGCAAAGCAGCAATTGTACAGAAATACCCTAGACAACTAGCAAAAACTGTGAACAAGAAGTTCCCTATATGTAAAGAATTCATCAAAACATTTTTTAATGCTACTCCAGCCCCCAGACTTTCAACATCATCTTAGGGATGCAAAAGAAAGCCTTGGAACCGTCTATATCTTGACTTTTGTAAACTTTAGTAGCTCTTTCTGTTTTGCCAACATCATCTTATTACTAAGAAATTATAGAAATAATGAATATGTTGAGAGAATCTTAAGATTGTTGTTTCGCTGCAGCACATAACAAAACACAATTCCAAAAATTAACAAATGTCTTGGTTCATTAGCCAGTTTCACTGTTGGTTATTAATATCCAGGAACTTCAATTCTGGTTAAACAGAAAGCACAGCATCTATTTAACTTAATAGAATTTTTTGGCCATAACTAATATGTTTAACTTTCAGCAAATTCAGCAATAGGACGAAAAGAAGAACATACCCTAGAAACTCTTAGCATAAAAAGTATCCCCATAATCAAAATGTAACTTTCATTCCGCTGGCATACTGTGTAATCAGAAAGGTGTTTGAACTTAAAAGTACCAATTCGAGGCAAAGACCCCTTCTAGAACACTGAAAGAAACCTAAAAGTACCAATTTGTCACACTCCGTCTTTTAGATGTATTAAAAGAATCATCATGGAAGTGCATAGCAAAAGAACATTCAAGTTTCTAAAAACCAACAGAAGTATTTGAAAGTACTCACCAAAAGGTCCCATGGTGAACAGATAGCCACAGCTCCAGCAACATAAACATTCTCCCCATCCTCTCCAAGATATTTAACCTGAAAGAAATAATTTGAGAATCATGTAACCTGGTATTAACAATCTCATTTCCACCAATCAACAGAAATGCAGGATATATAGAGTACAATTAAATCATTCTGCTTCATACACCTGGCAGTTTGCCACACTAAATTTCACATAAAGGCTGTAACTTTCAAATTGAATTTTATCAATTTCAATTGGCCCAATGACTTTACCCCTATCACAAGTCACGTTTAACAAGTTGCGGTCACCACTAAAATCAAAATATGGATTACAAGAACTCAGAATGAGTGAACCAAGTTTGAGATTCAAAAACTTTTATCATCAGATCAAGCACATGCAAGTAGCGAGTAATTTTTATTTATTTTGTGGGTTGCACCAGCAGAGATTTGAACCCATGACCTCGTGATTACAATGTTTGAGAATAAAATTTCAAAAGAATAAGCAACGAAGAAACAATCAACAACGGCCTTGTGTGGTTTTAGGTCTTTGTTTCATTTATTCAAATAAACTAAATGAAGCAGGCATACTTTAATTACATAAGACTACCACAGTTTCCACCATTGAACATCTATATGTTCAGACACCCAAAGAAATATGTAACAAGATGGATCTGATTGGAAATATCTGAAATGTATCACAGTACCAGGACATTAGCACCAATGCTTGTTCCAATAAGAAATAATGGAGCCGCTGGATAAGCCTGATGAAGATACTCAACTACAGATCGTATGTCTTCTGTCCATCCAGCATTATAGAAGCAATCAGACTGCAGGTGTAGGTCAAAGTATTTGAAGAGGTTTTAGTGCAAATGAATAGTAGACATCAGAAGAACCTAAAGAATAACCCTGTAAAAGAAGCACACATCATATTCGAGTTGATTTAAACTGTCCTTTTTCAAAACAACTTCAAGCAAAGCAGTTCCTCTAGAGGCAAACGAGCTCTACAAATCATTTGACAGTGTGACAATGGAGAAAGGCGATCACTGCAGCTTGGCTGTCAAGTCAGCCCCAAGCCAATGAAAAGACTTAATATCACTATGAGGGGTGGAAGTATTATACAGACTGCTTTCCTCGAAGCTATATTAGAATGGTAAGGTCTAGAAGAGAACAAAGCAACACCAATACCAGAAGAATGTACAAAGACTATGTATGTGATCACCAAGTCACACATAATGACGCAGGACAAACATGGTGGTTAAGAAAATCAGGATGTAGGTTAATTTAAGAGTAGTATGCAACGGAAAACTAAAAGAATCTATACGAGAGCTAGTTTAGAAATCGCAGGAAAACAGAGATAAGGGTAGGAAAAGAAGAAGAAAACCTAAGAATCACTCTTAGGGCCTTTTGGCATCACACCGCAGGATTCCTAGGCATCACACCAAGGGTTTAGTTGAGTCACGCAACTACTGTTGAAAGCAAAAGCTTGCAGGAATTTTTATTAATTTCATAACTGTCTAAAACCCTCAAATGAGGTACATATATATAGGCCTAAAAAACTATAAAATAGGAGATAAAGCTTAACCTGTAAGGAAATTAAACTAAATACCAAAAAAAGGAAACCAGTACTGCAGAAAAATCCTGCGACATAGCAAAATTACTGAAGTACCCTTATTCTAAAATACTGAAAATTAAACTTATTCCTGCTTATTAAAACCACTTATGAAGATTAAGCTAACCAAAGTCCTAACACTTTGGTTTCCTCCTCGGATCATGATGATCCTGAGCATAAATATGGAAGAACCTACTGATAGGGTTCTTCTACCATTCCTTGTCCCCATCATTTAAACCAAAGTCTACAATTGAGGGACCACAAATTCTAACAAAAATCATTACCTACTTAAGATTAAATGACCAGCAGTAACATCATATGCTTTCACATTATCGTAGAATTGAATGCAAATATTTTGCCAATAAACAGTAAACCACCTAAGTCCTACGTAAAAGATGTACTCACAGTCACTGACATTCCACCCAACCCTCGATGGTTGCTGATGACCACATTCCAACCACGCTTTGCGGTATCGTAGGCAAGGTGCTTTAGATACTGCAACGCCCATAGCAAAAACGTTAGAAAATTACAAAGGAAGAATAATTGTAGGATGCATTAGAATCCACAATTATGAAACTCATTCATAGGCAGTGTTTAGTACACATCCCATGCGCACTTATTAAGAGATTTAGAAGCTCTATATGCCATGCTAGAAAAAATTCAATGCACTCCATCCACTAAAAAAGAGAATCTGCGCAAATTAACCTTGATAAAAAAGTTCTTTGTACGAGGGAAAAAATAAACACAAGTTTTTAATTGCTATTTTAACGTCTGTTTGCTCATCAAATGCTTACACTGAAAAAAGGGAGGGAGGGGATGAGGAAATTAATAAAGAGACTCTAGCAGTAGATTGCCAAACCCCCTAGGATCAGGAAATTGTTGTTTCAAGATTTATGTTAAATAAAATAAGTTAAATATTTTTCAATCTGAAAGCAAGTATCAAATGTATGCTTGCTGGCCCAATTGGGACTTACCGGTGAACCGGAATCACTTGTTAACCCTGGAATTACGACAACAATTGGAGTGGTATCATCCTTCGAAATGGAAGAACTCTTTGTAGTGGAATCTTGAGACACTGCAAAAGGAGAATAAAAACTTGACTGACCAGTCTTCAATAAGTTATAAAATCACACACACACACATAACTAAGGAAGGCAAAATTCGAAGTTGGACATCCTATAAAAGAAGGCACCGAAGTGATAGAATACAAATGACATCATAAGCTAAATGAACGTGGCTCATCCAAAACAAGTGATTAACCTACTAGTGGTCAGCTTCGTAGAAAAAAAGCTTAAGAAAATGTCCTGATCAGTATCAGGTCACTTACTATAGTACTTACAACCAAATATTTAAGTCCACTTCTAAGCTTTCATAAACGTTTAATGCAAAATCCCAAGGGAAGGTATCTACATCAACTACAACAAGAAGCCTTTTTTCCACTGGGGTTGGTGGAAGGTATCCACACATTTAAAAGAATAGTAACTATACAAATAAAGACCAGATTAGATTTATATTGAAACTGGGAATAAGATTAGGATGTCTGGAATGGTAACCAAAAAATTCAGATGAAACATATTCACCTTGAAGTGGGGTAAAGGCTAACTTTTCATTGTCTTTGTAATATGATCTTCAAATATAGCTTTTCGTTCTCAACTATCTGAGGTGTATGTTACTGCCTCTCAAACTTTTCTAGAAGTAAATCCATATATATTGAAGTAAAAGCTTACTTCTCGTCACCAATCATATTCTGAAACATAGATTTTCTGTATCAACAATGTGATTTGAATCTTATTCTTACTGCCTCTGAAACTTCTTTTGGAACCCTCTCAAACACCTCTAGTTAATAGATGTATCATTGCAGTTAGAATTAAGGAAATAGCTGTGAAACATCAATTTTAAGCATCAGGGATCAAAAGGCTAGACAGAAAGACGACCCATTCCACCCAATTCTTTCATCATAAGTGCCTTTCAACTATTATTTCATAATATAAAAGAATGTTCCTTTTTCTCTTCAAATGTCCTCAAAAAATGAAGAACACGTCCACAGGGAATAAACCAATTTCTAACATCACAGTTGGTAAGTAACCTTTTACCATCGAAGCGACTGACACCATCGAAGCTTCAGCAGCTTGGTGATATCTTAAAGCCGTGCTCATATTGTTGGACAAATGAGCAAATAATCTCAGTGATGGTTGACATGCATGCAAGGCAAAAGTCTATTTGACAGAGGGAAGCAGCATGCCATGGCGAAAAATAGGATAATGGAAAATCAAAGATTAGAGGCGAACGAAAGCAAGTGAATAAGCCAATAGCTTCTAAATGGATCATGCATGTTTCCCAATTTTAGTCAGTGTTCAGAAAAATAATGTTTGAAGTAAAAACAATTATAAGGAAAGTGTTGATGCATAAAGGTGGCGGATCTAATTTACTAACTAATAGCAACTTTGACTAGTCATCACAGCACAGAGTTTAACCAAATTTTCACAGCTTCCAAGGCCCCAGAGGCAAAGAGCTAAAAATGACAGACTGAAATTGAAATTCTAAGATTACCATCATAACTTGTAAGCCAATCAAGGGCAAATGTCCCACCATCGGACGCATGAAATATTTCTCTGGAATAAATAAACAGAAGAAAGTATTAGACTGAAGCAATACAAATAAATTAAAGAAAGCAATAGATGGAGTTCTACACTTATTTACACTCATATTGAGGGGGAAAAAAAGAACATTTAAATAATAAAGAATGTTAGGATACTCATTTCAAAAGGATTAGGTACAACTTAACAAATGGAACTAGTAACACATATTCTGCACAAGATAAACCAGCAAGTCAAAAGCTGAAAGGAGCAAGTGAAAAATCAGGATGAAGCTGAAACTTTCCTTAAAAGAACAATGGACAAGATGTTAAACCAAAAAAGCCATTGAAACCAGAAAATATCTGTGTTAGAGATGCATCAATGAATCCCTACATGGGAAAAGCAACATATGAATCATTTCACGACCAAATATTAGATATAAGATTACTGCAAACCTGTTATAGTGACTGTAACACAATCACCAGCTCAGCTGTACTAACTTTGTAGATAGCAAACTTTTTAACCAAAATCAGATCCAGGTAACATCACTTTCCATCTTATAGTCTTAGTACTTTTTTTCAATACATAGTCATGATCAGATGATGTCAAAAGCATCACAAAAGTTGATGTCCAGAGGAAACTCTTAGTTGGATTTTCGCAGAGAAAGCATCAAAAGAAACTCACAATCTCTGTAGTTTTGTACTATAACCATCAAGAACTTAACAAATATATTGCTATTTCAATTTTTTTTAAAAAAAAAAAAAAAAGAGTTAAAAACAATTGCTGTCATAAGCCACCCGTCTAATCACAAGAAAATTATGAGTATCCCCATTTAGCTAATATCAATAGTCTGACTAATTATTCATCATATATGCGATTGCCAGTAAAGCTTCTAGTTGACAAACTATAAATGCTACTGTTATGAAAAATCTATCGTTCAAAACAATGGGATTAAGTAGCAGTCAGACACAATCAAAAGAATGATACTTGTAGAAAAAATTTCACCTTCTGTACTTGAAAACGGGGGGCCTCCCAAAGAAATTTATGAAGACAGATTGGATATGAGGACTTGAAAGCCACGGCGTCGCCATGTATCTGGTAAATTCGTGAAATTCATAGCACAATAACAATGTATCAGCAACTAATTCAGAAAACTAGAAAGAAATGTACTCCCATGTTGTCCCATGACTACTGGAAGACCTAAAGCACAAAAAACCCACAGCAGAACATCCAAACAAGATGAGCTTAAAGATTCAAACAAAAGCTTGGTACATCCATGAAGGAAACATATATTTAACTAAAAAATCAATCGCACTTCATACGTTATGGGAAAAAAAAAAAAAAAAAAAATCAACATAAGGAACCGTATTAACATGCATTTGCACTGATAAATCCAATGCCAAAACATACCCAATAATTGACAAGCCAAGAGAATTCAAATGAAATTCCAAAATTCAAAGAAAAATTACCTCCCATGAAGAGTCCGACATTTGGATGCAACTTTCTCGTACAACTCTGAGCTCGGATTAAAAGTCAACAACACCCGGCTGCCGCGAAACCCAGTGAAGAGATCTTCGAAAAAATGGAACTCGAGGAAATTGTACAACAACAGAATCAAAGCAATCGCCGCCGCCAAAACATAGTGACTGATTGGAATGGCCCTGATGATAACCTTAAACAAGGTTCGGTATGCTTGAGATGGGGATTCAATGCTTTCCAAACAATCCATCCCGCAAAAAGGAAATGATGAATTAACAAAAAATGGAAGGTTTTTTCAATGCGGAATTAGCATCCTATGATGGAAATTTAGGCAAGAACGAGAGGCTTTCTGGATTCGGCGGGTGATTTTGAAGACACGGCGGAATTTCCTAAAAAGAGTTTCTTTAAATTAACTGTCTGATTTTGCTTCAAACCGGATCGGAGAGATCAAATAGTCGGTTGAACCGATTTTAAAATGGTTTGATTTCTCCGTCACAATTTTTGGGATCATATTAAATTAACGTAGATTAATCCACAACAATAGTAGTATGTAATGTGTGAACATTTATTTATTGTTTATTACATGAAAAAATTACTACTAAATGGGAAAAACCAAATCCATGCATAAATTTATATTGCCAATAACATTGAAAATTTGTAGTAAATAATTCAAACAAATTAAAAATTGTTTGAAGACTATAAAATTCGGACAAAATTTTTCCGACTTTGACACTTGGATAGATAATGTATAAATAATAATAATCTACAAGATGCTTGGTCCGGGCGGATGTCCGGTCGGCTTTAATGTTATATTACTTTAATTAACAAAATTATTAGAAAGTATGAAAATGTAGACACATTAAACATAATTAGGTTAAAAAAATTAGGTATGTACAAAACGTAGCCACTTTGAAAAGTACTCCTTCTGTTCCAAAATTATTGTCCACTTTGAGTTTTCATTTTTAATTCAATTTGTACTAAAAATGAAAACCCAAACTGAACAATAATTATAGAACAGAGGGAGTATATAAATTAATTGAACCAAACAAATGTTTATGTTAACGATTTATAAGCCGGGGGGAGTCCGTTAAATAAAAAATTAAATCATATAATAATAATAATAATAATAATTATATGATTATCATTATTAGAGGCGGATGTCTACGGCCCCGCGTTAAGTTTGCTATTACTTCATAGGTAAAATATGTTACTATTAACAAAAATAGGTTTATGTAGACCTCCCTTCAAAATCTAGATGTTTGCCCCACGCAAATGGCCATGTGTTCTCTAATTTGTTAATGAAAAAAAAACGTAATAATAATAATAATAATTTCAAATTAGAATACAGTAGGTTCCAGGGGTGTTGCTAGTGTTATTTAACACAATCGTATATTTTTTGAGTGTCTATGTCGAGACCTTGCCCAATTTCCAACTCCAAAAATTAGTATATGTAAATGAAAAAACAACAAATTAAGAGCATTGCTATTCCTATTCTCTGTGAATCAAATATAGTTTGAACACTGTCACCAACCCGAAAATTATCAGAATAATAAGCGCAGAGCTTTTTAAGAAGCTCAATGACAAAAGAAATATCAAAAGTTTTATAACAGAGAGCCATTAAACTGTCTTCTCAACATACAAAGAAAAACTCAAATCTACAATGTTGTTTTCCACTACCACCATCACTGCCACGGCTCCTCCATGGTTGTTTACTGTCCACAAATCTTAACACCAATATCAGATCATGGAATAATGCTTCATATTCATCCATAGATAAAAAGCAAACGAATTATGAAAACACCCTTGACAATGAGAACTACGATCTCAGATAGAGAAACTCTATTAATCCCAAATCAGGGATCTAGGTGAAAACTAAAACTAAACCCCCTCTTACAACATGTGAACCGCTATTATGAAAACCAACCAGACAGCAATTGACGGAAGCGCTTACCGATTCCCAAAATATAAAATAGATCAAATGGAGATTTGAGAGGCCCAGCGTGATAGAAGCTTCAACTGGTAAATTTCAGATCTCTCCCAGTTGAATATGCTAATAAGATGACAAATCAAGTATTTGCAGCCAAAACGTGCATGATGCTTCTTTTGGGCAGCCAACAAGATCATTGTCTCTCTTGCCAGAAACAAAAAGCAGCAATTTAACAGGTTCATGATCCCTTGAAAAAAAATGCCATTTCATCAAATCTAAGGGCACTTGTTTAGCCGTAGATACTACTGTTTCCTTGATGTCATTATCAATTTTGAGTGATTCCTTGAGTGGATTTCAAACCTTTCATCATATCTATAACCACATAATATATACTTTAATTCAAACAACTCATACACATCTTTTTTATGTTCATTCTACTTTAGATTTTAGTCTTAACACACATATTAAATACCAAAGTACTTAGCTATAATGTTCCAAGGTTGAATCAATCTTGTATAACTGGCCAATTGAGTCCTTAAGGCATTAAACAAAGAAAAAATAATGTAATATATGTAACATGAGCTGAATTACCTGCTATTTTCAGTTGTTACTGACGCAGCCAGTGGTAGTTGATTTACCAACTACTTTCAAACTTTCTACATTCCAAACTTTCTACATTGATCTGAAAAAAACAAAAAAAAAAAAAAAAAAAACCACACAACTCTGATTCAAAAAGAAATGCCAATTATTGAAAACCACCTTTTCTCAATAAATATTTCACAAACCATCACTTTTTGACCCCCAGCATGCTCAAATTCAGTGCGGGCAGGAAGTGAATGGAAGGATAACAGAGAAAATATGATCAAAAAATTTGAGTGTAGTGAGGAATTCTTAGGAGTACCATACATGAGTTTCTCGGACAACGAACACCATCAACTAAAAACTGAAGATCCATATTGAGCATACATCTCCATGACTAACAATTACCTGGATCTTACTCAGGTGGGTTAAGAACAAAAGTGATAAGAGAAAATACTATCTTCTGGTTCCAACCTGTGTGATATTCCCCCAAAATGTGATTAGTCCCATTTGCTCTGCATATTTGTCCATTCATTTGAAGTCCAACTCTATGTTGTTGAAATTAAGCTAATAGACAACAAAAATCCATATGCAGTTGTTGTAACCAAAAACAAAGACCAACTTGAAAGCAAAATCATTGACACAACATACCCACACGCCCACCACCAATCCAACTTAAACAAACAGAACCACTATATAAATTGGTATGCTTAATTTATGTGGTTAGTCAATATAAACTGGCCTTCCTAATCTCACAATAAGGAATCAGTCACCAAATTGATTGATCAATCACAATGTCGGTTCTGTTGTTTCGTATGCTGCCGTAACCAAAGAAAAAATTACAGCTTTTAGTTACATATACAATCTTTTAAAATTACCAGTGTTGGGGTGTGAGAGAGTCAGAGAACAACTCCAACGCTTCTCTCATTGCCGGGCTAAGAAATTGGAATCTCCTTTGTGTTCTTTCATCACTGCAATTCACCAAATTCAGAATCATTAAAAACAATCTTTTAAAAAATTTGAATCCCTAATCTAATAACCCCAAACTAATCGATGGCACAGGAATTAAAGCCAACACGGCGGCTAAGGTTCAGACGAAGAAAATGAAATGAATTATTCCAAAAAAAATGAAAATTTGCAACCAAAAAAAAAAAACCATCGTAATCATATGGACAGAAATTGGGAGCGGATACAAAAGAAAAGAGTTTACCTAAGCAGGCTATGCGGCTAACAGATCCGGTCAGCCGTCAGTATCACCAAAACCCAAAATCCGGAAGAATCCTACCTTTAAAAACGAAGGGGAAAAAACAATTCAAACCTTGCAATTGAACCTTGTGCTAATGGTTTCGACTTTCGATAGATTTCATTTTTGCCAACAGTAGTGGTTTTCCACCTCTGATAAATTTCTCATACATCAATGCCAGTCATCACCATGTTCATTGAATCCGGAACAGCCCTTGAACACCGAGAATTGAATCGGCTAGATCTGACGCCGAGGGATCTAAAGGGCTCCCTCTCGTCGTTGGTTCCTGCCTCCATCCCGTTGTCCTCCTTTGCTCTTTTCGTATGGAGAGGTACAACTGGAGAGGTAGAACCGGAGAATCACCTATTTTTATTGACGATGATGATGATGGTGACGATATGGCCGAGGAAGAAGAAGAGGATGAAGAAGAGATTCTATGTACACCTTCTAAGGTGTAACTAGGCAGCACGCACAATGAAAAAGAAATTGAAATTTTTGAGCCCGGATAAAAGGAGTCCACACGCACATTTAATCACCTAATTTTATCTTCCTTTTTTAGCATTTAATTCCTTAATCTTATCCTTTTTTTTGGCATTTAACTCCCTTTTTTATCCCCTTTTTTGGCACTAGATTAATTTTAAATCTTTTTTTATTTGCTTATCATGTTAGCTTTTATATTATTTTATTTTATTTTATGAGATAATTTTTTTATAACGATGGATTTTATTTTAGTAAAATTGACTATGGTTAATCATTGAGACTTATGAATATGGAGAATCAATGTGTATTTTCCCAGTAATGAATAACCAACGTTTAGACAATGAATAATGTTATGCAATTATTGAAAGATGATTGATGTAGAATGTATTCGTTTTATTGATGAATATACATGGGTAAGGTAATGTGTATTATATGGTTAATGATAAACAGGAATTTCATTGTTGTTTTCTGACCGATGGTGTATTATCTTATTACGTTTTTATGATGAATATCTTACGTTAATTAATGAATAACGAGTTCTTATTGATGAATAATTGAACGATGTTTCAACTCTGAGGAAGAGGCTTTTGCTGCTTATAATTCTAGCACATTGTTTTTTCAATAAAAAGGTTCAAAGATTGAAAAATGTCTAAATCTGGTGTTGTATATTGGAAACAATTTGCATGTAGCAAAGAAGGAGTAAAAAATTCATGAGGTAGATGATATACAACAATGAATAATTATACCAAACTGATGAATACGGCAATTTCAACAATGAATAATTATACCAAACTAATGAATAATACAAAGATCTACTAATTTACCAAAAAAATAATACTAGTTTACAGAACTGCTGAATAACCCTCTATATCAATGTCTACACTTATTGTGGTTTGGTCTTTTTGCAGATTCAGATATCCTGCTTCTTTCGGCTTCTGATTGTTGTTCTTTGCTCATGCTTCTTTCAGATTCTGTCTGATATTCTTCGCTCATGCTACAATATGTTTACAAATTCCATCAATAACTTGTCAGATGTGATGAATTTTTTAGTGTGTTTCTTAATATTAATATATCAGATGTATCACAAACTTAATGATAGATGTTCGATGAATTAATGAATAAATGTATATAGATGATTAATAATAATTGCTGACCCAATGAATAACATCCCTTTACAGATGATTATCCCAAAACAAATTTTACAACAAATTATGATGAATACCAATTACCAAATTGATGAACAAATTTAACGAATAAATAACACATAGTTGTGATAAACAATGAATCCGGCAATTTCAACAATGAATAATTATACCAAATTGATGAATAATACAAACATCTAGTAATTTACCAAAAAAACAATACTACATAGTTATAGTAAATGATGAATCCGACAATTTCAACAATGAATAATTATACCAAACTGATGAATAATACAAAGATCTAGTAATTTACCAAAAAACAATACTATATAGTTATGGTAAACGATGAATCTGACAATTTCAGCAATGAATAATTATACCAAACTGATGAATAATACAAATATATACTAATTTACCAAAAAAATAATACTACATAGTTATGGTAAACGATGAATCTAACAATTTCAACAATGAATAACTATACCAACTGATGAATAATACAAAAATCTATCAATTTTCCAGAAAAATAACATCCAATAGAAGAACAAAACTCTAAAATTGATGAACAAACATCGTCAATCGAATGAATATACCTTACATCTACAGAACCCAAACAAAAAAAAAAAAAAACCAATTGTTGAATATGAAGAAAACTTTAAACTTGATGAACAGATATGCATAATCAAATGCATATACAGTAAATCTACAAAACCCATCAAAAAACGCATCAATAGTCCAAAAGATTAATAGTATTACCTTCGTTCATCTTCACTTTGCGAACTGCTTCTGTTTGGTTCAGATCCTCAATCGATGGTTTCTACGTGGATGAATTTTGTTCATATATTACCTTAAATCGCATCTTGAACAGAGTATATTTCCACAATTTTCACTGGATTTAATGCACAATCTGATTCCGTCCCAAAAAATCCAGCCGACGAGAGGTTTTCTGGCCAAATCGCTGTAGAGTAAATTTAGTTTTTTAGTTTTTTTTTTTTTGTTTGAGACGGATTGTGATGCATGGGGTAGAAGATGGATATGGTTAATGGCTGAAAATTAGGAGGGAATGGTGGAATTTGAAATTCCAAAAATCTCACAAAATGGGGAATTAAATGGGATTGCTGTAAATATTGAGAAATGTCCATTTTTGGGTCGCGTGAGACTCACACTAGGTACACCTTGCTAGGTACACGTAGGATCCCTATATTATAATTGGGATAATATATCCTCTCTTTTTGAAATTCAAAAAAAATCTCCATCTGAACTGTAACATTTAAAGGAATGTAAATCCTTTAAAATGGGAACTGATTTCGTGTACATTTAAATGTATTCATCTTTCTGTTTTTTTTTAAGACAGGACACGTGGCATTATTCTTCTGCAAAAGATATACTTTTTTTGTTTAGGCGGGAAAGAAACTTATGTGAAACTGACACATGTCCTAAGTATCATTTGCTTCATAAAATGTAATGGGATAACTCAAAAATAATTTCTAAATAATAACTACGGTACTTTAGTAATTCAAAAAAAATGGTATTATTCGTGTCAAAGGAAGCATCTATATTCATAGAAATCACCATATCAGCAATTATGGTGGAACAAGTATTCAAAACAACAGTATCGACATCCACATGTCCTTAATTTCAAAAAGAAACAATCACGACAATGTTCAAGAAGGTGTAAATAATGATAATATATATTCAGCAATGATAATGTTCAAAAATCAAAACATGATAATCATGAATGAAGACAATTGAAAAAGAATCAGAAACAAAAATATTGTAATTGTATATGAATATAAATTTTCTTGTCATTCTTTTTCTGTCTTTCTGCATTCTCTCTTACACATTTATTTAGTATTTAAAGTTCTTGTATTTCGTCAGCAAAATTGAAATCAATTTTATTAATTAAAATGTTAGATCCATTAATTCATATTTTTTCAGTGTTAGTATAACTAGTATTATGCCTGCACGTTGTGCGGATTTTACTATATTTTAGAGTAACATTAATATACTATTATTTTCCTATGAAAAGTGTCATATGTTTTAGTTTTTCCGTTGTTTGGTATATTAGGCATTCAGAGTCCAAATTCAATAGTGTCATATGGTTTTTTTCGTTTTTGGTATATAGTACAGCCGGTGTTTGAAATCATTGTTCTAACCAATCCATGTTCGAATCGGGTAGGTCACTTTTGGAAGATAAACTTCTCGCAACAATCATTACTACATGCCCATGCACAGATTTAATCATGGATTGTAGTTAACTTGTTCCAATACTATTACCACTTTGATCAAGTATTTCTTAGCCATATAGGGTACTTTAAAATACAAATTAATATGTTTAACTATCTAATATGCTTATTGTTTAGGAGTGTTAGTATATAAAAAAAAAATTTTAAATATGAATTAATATTATCAATTGTCTACTCTCCTAATATACATCTAATGTATCTAAACTTAGTTTTGAATTGTATTCGTAATATAATAATTCGGTAACTAATCTCTTTAGTTTTGTAACTAATCTATTTTTATTTTTGGAAATATCAAATAAAATCTTTTGAGAAAAAATATTAATCTACATTTAATGAATCCAGACTTGGTTTTCAAATTGTATTCATAAGATAATTATTTGTAACTAATCTCCTTTTATTTTTTTTAAAAATATATTAAATGGAATCATCTGTAAAATAATATTAACCTATCTTGCTTGTATACAAACTTGGTTTCAAATTGTATTTGTAGTATAATTATTTAGTAACTAATCTCTTTTTATTTTTGAAAAATATATCAAATGAAATAATCTGAAAAATAATATGAACATACGTTTAATTTATCCGGACTTAGTTTCGCATTGTATTCGCAGTATAATTATTTGGTAACAAATATATTTTTTTGTTATTGGTAACTAATATATTTTTAGTTTTGGAAAATATATCAAATAAAATAATCAGAAAAATATTATCAACTTATGTTTGATGTATCTAGACTTAATTTTGAATTGTACTCTTATAATCATTGGTAAATAATCTCTTCGTTTTGGTAAGTATTCTTTTTTTTTTATTTATGAATAATATACCAATCATCTAAGAAATAATATTAACATACTTGTAATGTAGGTAGACTTGGTTTCGAATTGTATCAAAATATAGTTATTTGGTAAAAATCTTTTTTTTTTTTGTAACAATATCTTTTAATTTTTGAAAAATATATCAAACTGAATCATCTGAAAAATGATATTAACTTACATTTAATATATCCAGACTTAGTTTCAAATTGTATTCTTAATACAATTATTAATTTGATAATTAATGTTTCCTTATGTCATATATTTGTCAATAATCACCAAAGACAGGTTTATTTTTCTAAAATTAATTATTGGTTAATTATTTAATTCAATTTAACAATTTTACGTATTAGTAATAACTTTTAACTGTTTAATGAAGAAGAATTTTGGTGACAACACGTAGCACAATTGGCTAAACTTGCTCCCTAGATGACACGTGTCGATTAAGAACTCTGATTTAATATATATAATATATATATTTGTTAAAATTAGTTGATTAATCGATACAACCAAGTCGGTTTACTCCAAAGCTGGTGATGGGGTTTCAAGCCAACAAACAATTTAACCTACTTTCAAACTAGTAGCATAGGAAAGCAAGGTCGTCTCCTCAAGAAATGGTGGATTCGTTTCTTTCAAATAAGTAACCGAAAGGGGGGTTTTGAGTTTTTAAAACTAAAATGTAGTTAAAATAAAATTCAAATGATAGTTAAAGAAAATGAAAGCAAATTATGAGAAAGTTTCTAGTCAAAAGATTTTATATCCACCTTGGTCTAGACAATTGATCATAGATGCAATGATATGCTCAATCACTTATCGGCAAATTAGTTTTCGTTGTTGGAACCTCCTAACAACTCAA